AAAGAAATGGAAACAAATATTAACTCTTTCTATGAATGAAAAAGGAAATTAATATATCCATATTTCACTTAAAATATAATCAGTAATTATATTATTATAATTATATTAATTATTTATGAAGAAAAAAAGAAATGAATATGAATAGAAAAAAATGAATTTTACACACGAGAATCTATTATTAATATTTTGTTACTAATAGACACAAGAATCAGGCCAAATGAAAAAAAATATTTAATATTAAAAATTTATTGAAAATATAACACCGCTTTCCCTAGGAAAAAATTAGTAACCACCACATGAAATATTAGGAAAAAATTATGAAGGAAAAAGAAATGGAAATGAATATTAACTCTTTCTATGAGTGAAAAAGGAAATGAATATTACTCATAATGAATAAATATATGAATTATTATACATAGTAGCATGGAATTAATTAGTAGGACAATTATATTAGGTAATCTAATTAATAATTTACTTTTTAAATTATATTCCCTTTTTAATAATGAATATTTTCTTAAAGTATATACACAGATTATGCTTATCAATATAGAATTAAAAGTGTATAGATGTATAATATTATTAGTACAAAATCAATTATACTTGCCTTAATAATTAATTATTAATATTATTGCCTAATAATTATGTGTTGTCACCTTTTTCGGGGTAATTATTATGGTAATTTATATACATATATATTTTTATACTTAATGTATAATATTATTGGGCACAAAATAAATATACTTACCTTAATATATATATATAGATTATTTTTAATATCATTTCCTAATTTATTAAAGGTAATTATTCTCATAATTTTTCTTTCCTTCTTTTGTGTATTATTATGGTAATGTATTTAAATATTGGAAGATAAAAAATGTTATAATTAATATAATTAATGAAATTATTATTGTAATTGCCACAATATTTGGTAATTATAAATAATATAATTAAGAAATTTGAGAAATATAAGATTTCTTCCGTAGAAATATTTGTGACAATTTCATTAAATTATAATTAATAAAATATGAAATATAATTAAAGAAATGAAATTATAAAATTAACAAAACATGAATATTTATAATTTTTTTTAAATATACATACATACACTTTTTAAATTTCTAAATATAATTTTTTAAGTATAAATCTATCAATATAAATTAAAATTAATGAAATTATATTGTAATTTTCCTATATACATATTAATAAATATTATGTGTATATAAAATATATTATACAATCATATAAGGATATGCGTCCGATTAGAGTTTATATTTGTTCATACAAAATTTAGAATTTACATTTTTATTGATTTCTAAGTACAATTCTCTTAGTTATTATTATTCATATTTTTAGAATTAATATATATATATATATATATATATATATATATTTTTTTTTTTTTGAATGCTACTAGCTCTATTACATTGTAGTATCTGTTCATATACTTTCTCAACCTACTGAAACACAAAGAGCTAATAACGCCTCCACTGAGGCTCGAACTTACAACCTTCCAAATGGAAGTCCAACCCGGGTACCATTAGACCATATATAATACAATTTGGAATAAATCAACTTAATTATATGAATTTTTCTATAAATTTATCTAAATATGTACATGATTAGAGATTATATTAACCATACAAAATTTAAATTTAAATTTTGTATGTTATGAAAATAGATACTTGACCAAATATATAAAAGTCCAACTATATTATTATATTGTACATTTTAACATTTTTTTATTTTTTATTTTAATTTTAAATTCATAAAAACAAAAAAAAAAAAACAAAAAACAAAAAAAAATTCTGTGCAACACACGGGTAAAACACTACATTTAAAAAAAATACAATTTCATAAATATCATAAATTAATTAGTACAATATCATTTATATTTATAACAATTAAAGAAAAAAATAAATAATTTCAAATATATGAACCAATGATTTCAAAATGAAACTAATATACAGTTACAAATAAATATAGCATGATTAGATTTACTTTAATTAGTTTTAATTCTCTTAATGATATGACTTTTCTTTTTCAGTTTTTTTGTGGGAGACTAAGGGAGTGTTTGAGTTGCTGGAAATTATTATTATTTTTTGAATACTTACTAATAAAAAAAATTAAAATATTTTTTACCCCCCTCCCCTCCCCCCCCCCCTCCCCTCCCCCAATAACATGTGTAAATCTTATATTTTTTTAAATTACAATTTGATAAATATTATAAATTAATTAGTAGAATATCATTTCTGTTTATAAATTATAATAATTAAAAAAAATTCTTATATGTGAACCAATGATTTCAAAATGAAATTAATATACAGTTACAAATAAATATAGCATGATTTGATTTACTTTAATTAATTTTAATTTCCTTAATGAAATGGCTTTTTTTTTTTATCAATTTTTTATGGGAGGCTAATGGAGTGTTTGGATTGCTATAAAATATTTTAAAATAAAAATTCATACTAATAAAAAATCATTTTAAAATATTTTTTTAACCCCTCATAACATGTGTAAATCTTATATTTTAAAAAAATACAATTTGATAAATATCATAAATTAATTAGTACAATATCATTTCTGTTTATAATAATTAAAGAAAAAATAAATAATTGAAATATGTGAACCAATTATATCACAATAAATCTTTAAAAATTTAAAACAAAAGAACGGAAATTAAAAATAGAACGAAAATATTTCAATAATAATATTCTACATCATCAAGTAAAAGTAAATTAAAAATGAAAAGATAATATTTCAATAATAATATTCTACATCATCAATAGTAAAGGCATATTTTAAACAATAGTAAAGGTAAATTAAAAATGGAACGGAAATATTTCAATAATAATATTCTACATCACCAATTAAAAATAAAACTGAAATTAGGTAAAAATACCATTGCATATGATATTCTAATTGATTAATTTACGAAAAATAAAAAGAATAATTGGTTGAAAATGAATATGATATTACTAATTGACTGATATTTTACGATGATATATTTTCACCTGAGTCACCCATTCTAATGGACTGAAGATGTTAGCTATAGACGATGACGGACAAGATTATGTTGCTACTACCAATGTCGTCTACAATATGAGGTTTTAATAATGTGTAAATACAATTGGTGATATTATGTTTTTTTTTAATGACAAAATTGCTATATATCTACACACAAAAAAAAAAAAAAAATTTAAAGCAATTTAGACAAAAAAAAAAAAAATATTTTTCATACAAATGAATTAGGATAGCAATTCATTCCTATAACTGAGTTGCTAAAGAATGAGCACGTTTGCCTAATTTATAAAAATACTAAACAATGATAAATAAAAGCTTCAAAGTTACAACAATGCATGCGTATATCTACACATTAGCTATTAATTTGAGCAATTATTTGTTTAAATTCAAGCAACGATAACATCAAAACATATAAACGATCCAAACTATATCTTCAATTGCACTATATAATATTTAATGTTCTAATTTAAATAATTATATATCAATCCAGATATTCTTAATATATTACAACAAATTCACGGGCGAAACCATATCTTTAATTGCACTATATAATATTTGAGTTATTACTGAAAAAATCAGTCTTTAATCACGGGTAATTGTATGTTACTTTTTTCCGAGTCACCCCATCCTGATAGTCTGATAGTTTTAACTTTAGACGATGATGGATAAAATTCCGTTACTACTACCAAAGTCGTCTAGCTATAAAGAGATTTTCAATAATGTATAATTTAAGCCATTGATATTATGTTTTTTTATATACAAAAATGACAAAATTGCTATATAGCTGATCTACATAGAAAATATATCTTCCGTATAAATAATTTATATAACTGAGTTGCTAGACAACGAGCTAATTAGCCCAATTAATACAAATTATAAACACTGATATATAAAATCTCTAAAGTTGCAACACCGAATGCGTATATCTACACGTTAGCTATTAATTGGGCAATTATTTATTCGAATTCAAGCATTGATAACATCAGAAAACATAATCGGTGCAACTCAATTCTTCAATTATATTATATAATATTTGATTTTATAATTTATACAATTGTATATCGATATAAATATTTTTAAAATTTTATAACAAATTCATTCTGTGCAACGCACGGGCGCAAATACTAGTATAGCTCTAATATTACAATTACTTATACATCCTTATGCATAGACTACTACTATATATGAAAAATAAATCTCTTTCAATCTCACCCTTTGATATGTTATGATTTAATGGATGAGATGAGGCCCCATTATCTCACTCATCTAAGTGACCTCATGGGATCCGAAGCTCATATATATATATATATATATATATATATATATATATATATATATATATATATATATATATATATATATATATCTTACTTTGTATAATAATTATTCAAAGACGAGGCCGAGTGGGGAGGAGACAAGGAGTATCCCCATCCCCCACGGAAAATTATATACATTCCTTATCCCGTCATTTTTTTCCTAAAAAAAAAATTCCTTTTTCGTTATTGTTAGAGCGGGGATCAGGGATCCTTGTGGGGACAGGACAGATGCAGTAGTGTGGAGGTTTGAATTTCATTGAAAATTTACATTAAAAAAATTTAAAATAATAAAAGGTTTGAATTGAGTCTCTTGTACATTTAACCGGTAGAATAATTGTATAACTCACGATTTATGAAGCTATAAAATAAAGTATGGAGTATATTGTTATAATTCATTAAATCACAGTAAAAACAAAACAATTTTAAAAATGATACGTTTCACACACCTTGGGGTAATTTTTTTTAAATTTTCAAATATCGTGAAAATTACCAACCGTCATGCCTACAGAACAGCCGTCAAGAAAAAAGTCAGCCCCTTCTAATATTCTATGGCTCTGAAAAAATAGGGCCCTAGTAACCCCGTGAGAAACAACAAATAGAGAAACAAGTTGTGCAAAGAATTGTTTTTTCTTCTCTCCATTTATTATTTTCCGAGCTTAGCTTTCTGGTTCTTGATCTAAGATTCTGAGGCTACCATGGGGTTTGAGAAAGACGAAGCAAGCTCATCGTCCCATGTTCTTCACATACCCAGAGAAGAAACCCCACTCTTATGCAAGAATCCGCAGCAACACCTCTCTTCCCAAACGAAGACCTTCGCCAATGTGTTCATAGCCATAGTTGGGGCGGGTGTTCTTGGCCTCCCTTACACTTTCAGGAGAACAGGGTGGGCCATGGGAGTCATCCTCCTCTTCTCCGTCGCCTTCTTGACCTACTACTGCATGATGCTCTTAGTCAATTCAAGAAGGAAGCTCGAATCTCACCCCAAGAAGGCCTTCAAGATCTCATCTTTTGGAGATCTGGGGTTTGCTGTGTGTGGGCCTGTTGGAAGGGCTGCAGTTGATGCTATGATTGTTCTCTCCCAAGCTGGGTTCTGTGTAAGTTACATGATTTTCATAGCCAGCACTTTAGCAAACATATTTAACCATGAAACTGTCACCAACCCAGACCCTAAAATCATTGGGATTTCCCCAATAGTTGTGTATGTATGGAGCTGTTTCCCTTTCCAGCTTGGGTTGAACTCAATCCAGACACTTACCCATTTAGCCCCATTGAGTATCTTTGCTGATGTGGTGGATTTGGGGGCCATGGGTACTGTGATGGTTGAGGATGTAATGGTGTACCTGCAGAACAGGCCAGTTCTGCAGGCCTTTGGGGGGTTCACTGTGTTCTTCTATGGCCTTGGAGTGGCTGTGTATGCCTTTGAAGGGATAGGAATGGTGTTGCCATTGGAATCAGAGATGAGGGACAAGGCTAAATTTGGGAGAGTCTTGGGATTCTCAATGGCCCTCATTTCTGTCATGTATGGAGCTTTTGGAATCTTGGGTTACATGGCATTCGGGGACGAAACAAACGATATAATCACCTCGAATATGGGGCGGGGAATCGTGAGTAGCATAGTCCAAATCGGACTATGCATCAACCTGTTCTTCACATTCCCGCTAATGATGAACCCAGTGTACGAAGTCCTCGAGAGGCGAGTGACCCATGGGCAGACATGTTTGTTGCTGAGATGGGGAATGGTGTTTGGGGTGAGTTTGATGGCTCTGCTAATCCCAAACTTTGCGGATTTCTTGTCACTGGTGGGGAGCAGTGTGTGCATTGTTTTAGGGTTTGTGTTGCCTGCTTTGTTTCACTTGATTGTGTTCAAGCAGGAATTGGGGACTGTTGGATTGGTGTGTGATGGAGCACTCACTGTGTTTGGCATCATTTTTGCTGTTTATGGGACTTGGTCTTCTCTGCTTGAGATCTTTGCAACTAAGGCTTAAGCTATTGTAATTATGTGAGTTGATGATTATCAGTTTTTGTTTTACATATAGCTGTGTAAAAAGTGTGCATCTTGCTCTATACAGTTGTGAAAATTGTATCATATGTTTGCAGACTTTGAATCTTGTAGTGTGGTTACTTTTTGTTTTGTACCATTTTTACCTTACACCCTGTTTCATTCCAAGAAATATAATAAGAATTCTATTTATTACTTATTATGTCCTATTTTACTATTCATTTGTCAAATGAATTCTTCTTTTTCTTTTTGTTTATTTTTTTAGAGTTAATTCCGCATCATTCCATTTCTAGTCATTTTTTAAAACATCTTATTGATCCTAGCATTATTGTGACATGATTATTTTTTGTTATTCTCTCTGTCCCATTTTGTGTTTGGTTCGATTAACGAGGCTTGAATGAAATTATTTTTAATTCAATTTTGAATAATATTAAATTTAGTATTAGTATACAAAATTTATATATTTAGAATTTAGAAACTACACTAAAAGTACTATTACACACAAAAATCAAATATGAAAATAAGTAAAAAAAAAAAAAAAAAATACTAAAGCAAATAAACAAAGAAGAAAGAATTGATTCGACCAATGAATAGTAAGTATGACAGATAAAATAGGACAAATGGAATATTTGTTAACAAATCTGTTTAAATAGTATTAAACATGAGGACACTTCAGTCTATTCCTAAGCACTCTACTACAACTTTCTCATTTATAGATATTTTCTTCAGTGTAGAAGCTTTAGGTTTAAAATTAGGTCTACAAGGTTGAGGATTTATTAAAACAAAGAGGAGCTAAGAAGATGGTAAGCACTAAGCTGAATAGACCAAAGAAAAAAAAAAATGTCACGCCACAACAGACATTTCATGAGGACTTGGTCTCCTCTAAGAAATAACCCATTCTTGAAAATAATATTTCTTATCCCCTAAATGTACGGAAATAACTCATTCTTAAAAATAACATTTATATATGATAATAAAAAGTCAAAACATACAACTATATATATCTGTTCAAAAATATTATTTCATTCCTCATATATTCAACTGCAAACGGAGCTTAAGTTCAATCAATAGAAAGAAAAAATATTATATTGAAAACCAGAAAGGAATCAAATGTTTGACCAAAGATCTGTGACTGCACCGACATTTTACTCCAATAGTTACAAAAAAAAAAAAAAAAAAAAAAAAAAAAAAAAAAAAAAAAAAAAACCAACACAAAACAAGGTTCATACATTTTACACGCCTATGTATCTATGAAATAAATGAATATGTGAAGTGTGAACCCAACACAAGCTCTGTTCACATTTAAAAAAAAAAAAAAAAAAAAAAAAAAAAAAAAACAATATGTGAGGGAAAAAAATTACACGGGCACTGTTCATTGGTTACCGATAAATGTCTCAAGCCTCTATATGAATCACAAGCCAATTTGCTACACCTACAACCCAGAAAAGAGAATGGCAATATAAGAGCGACTGAACCAGCATCGCTGGTTCCTCACATTTAAGGGTTTTAATGACTCAGAATCTTACCACCCTGTATCATAAATTACTTGATTAAAAGGCATTCCAATGATCAGAATCTCTCCTTGGTGTCTGACTCTCCAGCGAAGTCTTAAATGGCCCACTCCAATGATCAGAATCTCTCCTTGGCGCCTCACTCTCCAGTGAAGTCTTAAATGGCCCGCTTGATCCGAATGGATCAGCATCATCAAATGACGAGAAACTCTGACCATAATCAGAGTCCTTAGTGCTACGCATGGAATCAAACCTTGCGAATGATGATGATGACTCTTGAGGTGCATAGTTTCCGAAGGTATATTCAGAATCTGCTGTGCTGCGGAAGGAGTCGAACCTTGCAAGAGAATCACGTGAGGATGAGAACAAATCATGACCATAGTCAGAGTCCTTGGTGCTCCGCATAGAATCAAATCTTGTAAAGGATGCACCAGATCCAGATGCGAATAGGCCACCGTCTTGCATGTTGAAGGAATCGAATCTAGAGAAATCTTTTGAGTGCTCTTCTGAACCTTCACTGAATCTTCGTGGAGAATTAGAACTGTACATGGGTGTGCTTGGAACAGAATCTGCAAAAGCATATGAGCTCTTCCCACGGAACATGTCATCTGCATGTAGGCTGGAACCATAAGCAGGTGTGCTTGGAACAGAATCAAAGAAAGGGCTCTTTGAGGATGCATTTTCTGTGTACGAGAACCCAGCATTATGACTTGGAGTACTAGGAACAGAATCAAAGAATGGGCTTTGCTTGGAGAATGCGTCTCCAGCATGTGTTGATCCCACATTGTAACTTGGAGTACTAGGAACTGAATCAAAGAATGGGCTTTGTTTTTGTAAACCATCACTTGTAGCCATTGGTCCAATATTGTAACTTGGAGTACTAGGAACCGAATCAAAGAATAGGCCATGTTTCGGGAAGGGATCACCTGCACCTATGGGTCCAATATTGTAATTTGGAGTACTGGGAACAGAATCAAAAAATGGGCTTTGCTTAGGAAATGTGTCATCCGCATGCTTGGATCCAGTTTTTATGGGGGCTAGGCCCCAGTCATCAGAATCAAAAAGAGAAGTTTCCTTGTCCTTCACATGATCAGCATCCTGAGAACATTGATGAAACAAAGTGTAGTTTAGTTCTGCAGAACAGTTAAATGTATTGTTCTGAACATTCAAACAATGACACAAGATATGTAAATCCATTAAGCCATAACTGGACATCAACATTATTATGAGAACAGGTCATTTTCACATCAGCTGTTTGGAGTTTGGACATGTTTTATATACCTTACTAGCAACATCGTTGAAATTCCATGCAGCATCTGCATCATAGTGAGTGTCAAATGCACCCCAGTCCGATTCATCAAAACTTTTTCCCCCAGAGAACACAGATTCAGCACCACGATGTTCACTGCTCCAGTAAATACAAAGTCATACTTCTAATAGCGATGCAATAGAGTATGATTTCACCTCAAAGCATGATTAAGTAATACAAATAGAAGTTTGTTCATCTTTTTTGGTTGATGAAAGAGAAACAAGAGATGCATTAGAAGAAAAAGAGGAAAAAATAGCAGTATTACCTGTGTGGAGCATGGGGTGAACCATCAAAGCTGACTTCCTTTCTAGTTTGAGATTCATGGTACTCTTTTGAGGGGCTCTCAACATGTTTAGTCTTTGATGGACTTTCAGCTCTTTGTTCACCAGTAAGAACAGAAGCCTCATCCTCCACTGTTGATAACTTCTCTGTTCTTGCACCAGCTTCAGAGTGTGATTTTCCAGTCTCACTGTCATCCAAAGATACTTTATCCCGAATCAAGGAAGACTTCTGTTTAGGAGGAGCTATGACATTTGGCACGTCGAGGGTGAGCTCTTTTAACAATGTGAATCCTGAAGGGCATAAAATTCAAGAGCACAATCAGAAAGAACCAGCAACAAGAAAAACAATGACAAAAAAGGAAGATAAGTTGGCACATTAGAAAGGATTAAATGCCCTTAAAATTAAAAGTGACTTTTCCAGTAAATACCTTCATCTTCAAACTTATCCCAATCCTCATCCCAATCTGCTGCTCCTTCTTGGATGCCAGGTTGCCAACCTTTAGAATTTTCAGTGTAAAAATATCACAAGTTGTAGAAAACATGAAACAAAATAAAGGGTTTTGATGACACACTGTTTTTACAGCTAGACCAGCCAAATGGGAAGGGATATAAATACGAAGTTAATAGCATCTATCTGCTACAAATTTTGAAAATACCACATTACCCCCCAAGTAACTCATTGGTTGAGCACACAGCATATGTGTGAGCCCGTAAGGCTTAGTACAAGGAAAATGGAATGCAAAAAAAGATATCAACTTATGATTAAATAATCAAAGAAATCATGGGTAAAAAAAAGCAGCCAAGAGACTTTTATTATTATTTTTATATTTGATAGGTAAAACTAAAACACACTATCACGGGTAAGGCAACAACTAAAAATTATGGCCTATGTCCCTTAGAGAATTAGATCAATACCCTGAATGTTGATAATTGACATGTAACTCCACGAGATATTCTGGACACTTTCACAGCCAAAATGAAGTCACACAAGACAAAGACGGAGTATTTCATGAAGCAAATCAGAAGTTACATGACCAAGCATGTTTGAAGCAGAAAGTAAGGGCCATGAAAGAAAATCGTAATCAATTGCTTTTTGGCATATGTTAATACATTCTACCACTTCACACCTAGGAGTCATTTATGGTTTCAGAGACAGTAAAGTCTAACGTCAAATGCAGTTTATTGTACTTTGTTTCTATCAATAAATAATTTTAGTATTAAGCAACACTTAATGAAAATATTACTTGGTGGCTTACAAAATAAATATGCAACAGCTTAGGTGCCTCTAGAAAGTAAATATCCAAGCCCAATTATAAGCAAAATAATATACATACCAAATGGAAGCTCCAACAGTGAAGTAGGTTTGGCACGTAGCCCATATGTTTTGCAACGTTCATTCAACGATTTCACAAGCTTCTCAATATCTAACTGAATGTGATTGGCATGGTCCTGTTTAAGCCATAGAAAATTAAGCTTAAAGAGCTTCAACATATCTTCAAAAGTTCAGTAGTTGGTAAACCCTACCTGAATACCATCAGCTTTGCCATCTTGATCCATTTTGACAATTGCCCGATATAGCTCCATCTTTTTCTCCTACAATTTCAAAAGGTTCAAAAGCAATGCCATATTATTCAGGCAAACCTGACTAAATTGAAACTTGGGAGTGTAAACAAAAAGCTTATCCAATATCATAAACTGATAAAAAGTAAACTGAGTTGCCAGAAAAGTTTAAGAATGACGGTTGCAAATATACCTGAATATCACGAAATGTGGCCTCCTCAATGGTCAATTTAGAGGCTACGTCTCCCGACAGCTTATACTTCTCTTCATACTTTTTTGCCAGTGACTCAACCTGTAATACAACTTTGTTCTTTGAGCTCAGTAACCATAGAAATCATGGAAACGTGTGCATCCTTACGTCTTTAAAAAGTTTACCTCTTTTTTGTCACCAGAAGCCCTTTCAGTGATCTCATTTACTCTATTGTCACATCGGCTTTTATATAAAATCTAGCAGAAAACATCGTGTGAAAAAAGTAGACTGTCAGTAATATGTCGCAACTTGGAGCAGTAATTCCTCAAATACCCCAAACATAAATAGCAACACTGCTATCATGAAGACACACCAATCTTAACAGTGCATATAAGAGTATACCCTAAATAAATAAACACTGTCAAACCAGGTGAAAGAAAATACGTAGTAACTAATTAGCACTTACAAAGGAACAATACTACTGTATGCTCCACACACATCCCTTTAAATTGGTAATTTAAGAACCAGTATATAATTTTCACGCCGTCAAAACCAACTCCCTGCCCTCCACCCCCCAAAAAAATATTTGGTGAGAAGGTATTCCCAGTAAGAGAAGCTCCTGACTAGATCATCTTAAAATGGGAGAATTATCCGGAAAAATGAAAAAAGTTGAAGTGGAAGAAAGGAGGAAAATCAGAGGCACTCACAAGCTCTTGCATCTTTGTATGATAGAAATGAGTTTTTTCTTTTGCATCTAATATTTCCTTCTCCAGTTCTGCAACCTGAAATTGACATAAAATATAATGCAAATAACTATACAGAAAATCAAATGTTATCCTCAGACCTCAATCCTTCTAATATCAAGTTAACATTTATAAAAAAAAATTATAAAATCCTTAGCCTTAGCTTACCTAACCATTAAGAAGGCATAAATGCTAGATTGCACAGCAACAAGTTTAATACGGAGTAAATAAGAGATATCATCCTAACTGATAAAATCTGTTCGCACTGAATACTAAAATAATGGCTTAGCCATCGGTCAAAAGCATAGCCATAGCTCATGATTGATAACTTTACAGACTTGCTAAACATTGTCAAAAGGGAAAGGGGAGAAAGGGTAACAATTATCGACAAAAGGAGAATTATCTTAGCAGTTGATATTCAACGTTTTTAATGTGAAAAGCACATCCGAGCAATGGAACTCTGCATCGCTTTAAAGTGCAAAGTGAAGTACTGCTTTTGTATATAAAGTGACACAAAGTGGAAAAATTAAATTTTATAATCTAGAAATCTAGAATGATATATAATTATGATATATATAATGCAATTTTTAAGACAAAAATATTATAGTTGACATCATTATATAACAATACAAGCATATTGCATCCTAAATCAGACAGCTACTTTTGACAAGTGTGAAAATTCTACAATTAACATAATAAAAAATTAATAAATTCGTATTATCATAATATTCCATTATTCATCCATCAATCATTAATCATTAATATTTATCTAAACACAAGCATCATATCAGTTATCCAATGCATAGTAAATTGAGCATCATGCGTAATACATATTTTCTAAACACATCAAATTGAATGCATTAATTAATTAAGGGTTAATTTGCTTTTTTTTTTTAAAAAGCAATTGAATACATTAATTATTTAAGGTTTGATTTATTTTTATTATTTAAAAAAAAAAAAAAACAAAACAAAACAAAACAAAACAAACAAAAAACCCTTGCCTGGAGGCTGGAGAGCCCCACTGCCCAAATTAATTAATTAAACACAAATTAAATATACAGAGTATTAATTAATTAAGGTTTACTTTCAGAGAGAGGAATTTTTATTTTTTTTAAAAAAAAAAAGAATAAAAAGATCTTGTTTAGTGCTCAGAGAGAGAAGAGCATGTGAGAGAAAGTATACTTAAAAGAGGAAGAGTTGAGACAGCATTTCTGTCGTCTTCTTCTCCCCCCCCCCCCCACCCAAAACGAAGGGAGTAATGAGCGATTCGGCAAAAGTATAAGAAAAGCATACTTGCAATTCATAGCCATGAGAGATCAGTGAAGATGAGGCAATTCAGCCAAATTGCGAAACAGTTGGCTGCCAAAATGTTTAATCAGAGACTTTACTCTTTAGAGTTCAATTGGAGGCAATTCTCAAGCTTAACTTTGTTGACCTTGCTTAATATTCAAAAGCATGCTTAGGGTTGCACTTTTTGAGTCACTCAGCTTCGGTCCACTTTCGAACATTTCAGCGCTTTGCTGAAGCAGAGCACAATCCCGATTCCCCTCAATCACGATTGCTTCATCACTTAAGCGATGAAGCAATTGCTTTTGACAAGTGAGGTTGATGATTACATAATTTGTGCTGTATCGAGAAACTGGTAATGCTAAAATGGAAATACACTACATTTCATTTAATCACATCAACTATTCCATATCTTGCTTAGAAAAAAATTTGTACTATTCAACATATTGCAGAGGTTTAGCATGATAAGTGAATGAGAAACACAAACAACTCAAGGACCTAGAAGTGTCATCTGCATGCATTGACAGAACTTCCCCCTAAAGAACACTCCTAAGCATATAATTCTAGTGCACATTCACAGCTTCACAAAATCCAAAGATTTCCATGGACCCAGGAACTTAATTTGCTAGTTTAAAAGAACTAAACCAGTAAAACTTAAAATTTAAAATTATTACCTTCTTCTCTGCATCAGTTGCCTCCTTGAACTTTGAGGTTAAAGAGCTTTGTTCCTCTGTACTAAGTTGGTCAACAAGATGCTTCTCCAGTACAGGAACTTTGGGCTTTTGTTGAGTAGGCTGCTTAGCTTCATCAAGATGAGTAATGGAAGCTGGACGTGGCGGCTTTCCTAGAGGAGCAGATGCAGCTTGCTGTGGTCCTTTTACCCCTTGCGGTTGCTGCAAACCTGACAAGGACAAAAAAGGTTATGATGTATTTTGGAGATGAAGAATATTGGTAGATGACAATTATGACATCAAGGAGGGAGGAAGAGTGTATACCAGGAGTATGTTTCCAAGCTGCTCCAGGATATGCTGCAGCAGGTTTACCAGAAGCAAGTGCCAATGTTTCATCCAACATAATACTACTTGGAAGGACAGAAGGAAGAGGACGGCCTTCCCTGTATCGCTCCATAAGGTAGAGTGCAATACAAAACTCTCTCAGAGACAGCATGCTGTCATTGTCTTGATCAGATAAGTCCCACACCTGCCTTAAGACCTCTGTCAAACCCAAAAATGCACTTACTTAGACTGCAATTCCCCACAGATCAATCAGAGGACTTTAACAACAAATTAAGAACCTCATAAAAGATCTACAGAAAATTAACTGCTCTTTAATGTAGAATACCTACACAACATATTACTACTAGTTAATGGTGTGGAAGGTCCAACCCACAGAGATAGAGCAAGGATTGTATATTGAAGAAAAAAGATAAATGCAGCATTGGGTTGGAAAAAGAGTGAAAGGCAAGGATGGCTAGAATAGGTCAACTTGTCTAAACAAATAACCTGGTGGCCATAAAAAGAAGTACGGAGTAACTTAAGACATCTATTTTTCACATTAGTTCAATTTGTACAACATAGTCCCCTCAGCATGTCAATAGCATGTAAATCATGAGTCAAAAGATCCTCTTTTATCTGGTGGAGCCATATGAATAAAATAGAAAATGCATAATAGGCACTTTTATATTGAAATTTCCAATATCTTTCCCCTACCATCACCTTCCAATAATGCAGAAAAGAAGCAACAAATTGCTTCATTTCTTAGAAGAAAAACCAAAGTTCTTCAACTTCAGTGAATTTGAATAAAATAAAACTAATACTAGTATACACAGAAATGCACCAGCTACATTATACTTCATTAATAAAGGCATGCCACATGCAATAAGTAGATTAAAACTGCCCAAAGTTATACAACAAAATAGAAAGAACTGCAAAATTTTAAGGACGAAAATAGAGAAAATAAGTATAATCCACCTCGAGGAAGCCTCCAACTCAAAAACAGGTTGCGGGCCTGTTCACCAGTGATTTTTCCATCTTTGTCTGTATCCACTGCCACAAATACTTTGTTATACTTCTGAAAATCAGCTTGTGTCATCTTTGGCCATGGAGACTGAGACTGGACAGAAACAGAATTTCCAGCTCCACCATGAACTATGGTGGAACTTTGCAGAGGGACCTTCTGGTTTGATTTCATTGTTGGCTGAGTTTGTTGGTATTGATGGCTCACAGATCGCTGAGAATTTGTGATTTCCAATGGATCAACTGAACTAGGCTTAATGTTTGTTTGAGATCCAGCAGATACTGGGACTAGAGCTGACGAGGCAGGTAAGCTACCAGCAGAAGATGTCAGTGGCTTGGAGTCCTGCTTTGGTAGGATGGATGTTGCTGAAAAAACATCTCCAAAATGAGAATTGGAAGCAAATCCATTTCCTGTCACTTGAGTTGCTCTAGAGTCCTTAGCTGGAGGTTGGTGACCCAGTGAAGCTGAATGATTTGAGTGAGGCGAACTACGCTGCACCAATGAAGTAGCTTCTTGTGGTTTTGATTGTGAAGATGCAGACAACCCAGATGCAGCAATGCCAAATCCATCCTGACTGTTAAGGTTGACACCCATGTTAGGAAATTGGGGAACAGCCCCAGGTTGAGGACCAACAGTCCCACCACCAAGCCAATTAGAGGAATTAGGAGGACGGAAAGCAGGCATAGAAGATCCTGCCGGCATTCCTGGACTTGAAACTCCTGATTGAGACTGGAGTGTGGTGTTAGGAGTTGGTAGTCGAGGGGTGCTTATGACTTGATTTTGTTTAGATGGAAATCCTTGTGAACCTGCTATGCCACCATTCGGAGTCGGAATTGGAGCAGCACCAGTAACAGGGGCTACTGGGGCACCAGGCTTACTGTTTGGGTGAGGACCAGATGCAACCACAACATTTATCTTGGGAGCAGGAATTTTAGCTGAAGCTGGACTGTATAATGCAGCCTTAACTATATCAGGAGTCAACTCCCGTTTACTTTGTGCCACAGTTACAAGTTTCAGAGCATTATAAAATTGTTGGCGACTAAGGAATCCTGTTTGATTTTGATCGGCATACGTCCAAATCTGTACAGAAATGATATCGGGATTGACTTTTTAGCTAAACCACTAGAAATAATATAAGTTTGAAGATTGATCGGATATGCATATAATGAATGAACAATTCTTGAACTTAGGTTATGTGTACTTGCACCTAAACTGGTCCCTTTAGCACAAATTTAAGTGGCTCATCTGAAATACTTACATAAGTTTCCCACTGCAAAACTCCTACTTCTTTACGGCAACTAAAGTCACCAAAAACTCAAAATGATTTAATTAACTAGTGCATTGATCTAAGATCCTCGAACGACTCAAATCCTAACTCATAATAATTCCAAGCTACTATGTTTATGATTCAGATGTCAACGACACAAATAATCCCATTTCCCTACTATCTATCTCTCCGATAATGTTAACTCTAGCAAGTAGCAACATAAATAAAATTTGATAAGCAGACACGGAAAAAATAGCTGGCAGTAGATTGTTAAACACTATATAAGCTCAAATGAACATACTACTATACTAGCTTATCCAAATCCAGTAACATAGATGCCTAACAGTAAAATTGGATTATATCTATCTTATTATTATCCCGTGTTGGGAGAGAGATGGCATAGGATGAACCTGAGCAAGGACTTGTTTGGGTAAACTGAAGGCTTGGAAGAAGGAAACGGCCTCATGACCACTGATTCGACCATCCCGATCCAAATCGGCTTTCTGAAAATACGCCTCGAATTGATCCATGTTGGGCGCAGCCATTTCGGTTCGGTTCGGCTCCGGCGAGTCCCTAGTCGAAATTGGGGAAGCGACTAAGAAGATAGATCTGCGCTAGCGCTATGGAATCATTTAGGGCTCAGAGTTTCCGAGGGGTTTAGAGAATCCGACCGGTAAATCGACCGACGGTGTGGTGGGTCGGGTAGATCAGTGGCGCTCAGGGAATAGGGAAATGAAAATAAGAAGAGGTGACGTCAGAGTTTTAACGGGGTGATTTTCATTGGTACGTTTAATGCTAAAAATAACTCAAGGCATTTGGTTAGGGAATATTTTTTAGACAGTGTCCAGAAGAATTTTACCATACATGAATAAAAAGTTAAAAGTGGAATGAAAATTATTACGGACTTACTAGACTAGATGGTGTAACAATAAGGATATTTGATAGTAATGAAAGGTTTACTTTTTTATAATTTTAAAGGTGAAAATTTGTTATATATAATATTGATAGGAATATTTCTTGACCTCGTTACATGTACGTATTGTATATTTACTAAGTATTCGGATTGATTAATAAGATAAATTATTTTCTATTATTTATCGACATCAAAGTCAATCGACCCGACCTGATATAGACGAGCAAGAGCTTATTTAGTAGCAATACTTGTCCATTTACTGGATCGCCCCGATCATCTTAGGGCGGGACAAACCACCAAACCTTCTCCACTTAGAACGTTGAGCCCATAGATGGAGCCGGGGGGGCAGGGGGGCAACTGCCCCTCCCCCCTCCCCTCAACCCACCTTCACCCCATATATAACCTTTGTATGTATATATGTATATATATATAGTACAATTTTTAGTATTACTATAAAAAACAGAAGAATGTTAACAAGAAGTGAGTTAGATTAGTTGGCTATTTGGTTATAATGATGGTTATGGGTTTAAATCTTGGCATTAATACATTTTCACAGTTTTTTTTTTTTTTTTTTTTTTGCTTCAACACAGTCACGTTTTTAATAGTTTTTTTTTAATATTTAATACACACACATATAACATTCTTTTATATTAATAATGAGATGTGTAATTTATAATGTGTTTTTTATTCAAATTATTTTATCAAATTAATTATGTTTCATATTTTGTTATGAATATTTTTATAAAATTTCGATGGGTTTTATTTTCTGCACATATCCAACAACATTTATTCCTATATTTTTTAGATATTTTTTTTTCAAATTATCTCTTTTGTTTTAACGTTTCGCCCTGAAAAAGAAAAATTTTGAATCCGTCCCTGATTCTTCGCCCCCCTCAACGGAATTTCTGACTCCGTCCCTGGTTGAGCCTTATCTCTTAAGTAAAATCTGATCTATTATTATCTCTTAAGTAAAATCTGATCTATTATTCTTACATATTTGTGAGAACAGCCATATTTACCACATCAAATATCTTTCTTTTTTTTTTTTTGGTACGTTAAGAGCCCTCAAAGAAAGCGATTATCTAACCAGGAGGTTAGGCATGTTTCACCACATCAAATATCTAGTTATACTTTGACTTTAAAAAGTTTAAGTCAATTAAAGATGTCATTTAAAAGGGAAAAAACTAAAAAAGTTATTTTCAACAAGTAATTGAGGATGTGCAAAATTTATTTTATTATTTTTGTCAAATATTTCATTTTGTTGTCTCGGAATAGTATATTAGAGATTAAAAGATTTTATTTAAAAAGTTTAGATAAATCAAATGTTTGAAATAATTTAAGGTGAGATTCAATTTGAGAGAACAATTATATTAGAATTAGAATGGTTAGAAGCAGGCACAGTAATGTTGGGTGGTTGAATAGCCCCCACCACATTACCTTTCAAAACAATATCAATTCTACTGGTTTTCTTTACCTTCCCAAAAACATTTATTCTGTCTGACACTTTTGCCCCGAACTCAATATATTGTGGTCCAGTGGTCCACTGGTATCAAGTTGCTCTCCTGACACCAAGTTATTCCTCTATGTGGGAGGTTGCGGTCTGTGGATTCGAGCCTCAGTGGAGACGGACTATTGACTCTTTGTGCTTCAATAGGTTGAGAATGTAGTTATGAACAGATACTACACTGTAACAGAGTCCGTAATACTCAAAAAGAAAATAGTGATATTGGATATAACGGGGTATATATCGCGATCTATAGTAAAAATTATTTACATATTTATCAGATAATACTCAAATTTTTAGGAAAAATGGCGAGTTTGGTCCCTGAGTTATAATGGTAGTGACGACTCAGTCCATGAGTTATGACAGTATCAATTTTTAGTCCCTCAGTTATGAGCGAAGTGGCGCATTTGGTCCCTGACCGTTAAAACTAACGGAAAAATTAAAAAATATTTAAAATTTTAGGGGTAAAGTAGGAAATTCACATTTTATTGACTTTCTTATATTAAACCACTTTTGTAACATTATTTTCAACTTCCTAAACATAATGATAATCAAACCATAACTTTTGAAATACAAGAAGATATCAAATTTCTAAGTTACTTTTATGAAAATTCACCAAGGGAGTAACTTGAGATTTTGTTTGTTTTTCGTTTTTGAGTAACTTGAGATTTTTAGTACGTACGGAGTAAAATTCTTTCGTAAGCTCTGCAGTAACTTAATCAAGAATCATATATCTTGACCATATATGAAAATTAAATTTTATATATACCCATCACCTCCCATATCTTCTTAAAAACAGAGTAATGAATAAGGAACCTAAGATTCAGTTATGAAAATTTTAAAAACTTTTGTAACTTCTAAAAACGACTATTGACTGCTGCATTATGAAAAAATATTACATATTAAAAATCTCAAGTTATTCCGTTGGTGAATTCCTCATAAAAGCAACCAGAGAAATTTGACATCATTTTGTATCTCAAAAGTTCTGGTTTAATTACCTTTGTCGTTGCATAGTAAAGAAAATTGAAAACTGATAGGATAGTGTGTTTCATACGTCTGAAGACAATGATCAAGGGTTTCTTTGTTTGTGCTAAGTCTTAAGTTTGTTATACGAGAGTCAGGTTCCTAACAAGTCATACTAAAGTTATTGAAATGCTTTTAGAATTGAACAATCTTGAAATAAGAGGCTAAAAAGTGACAAATAATATTGTGAAAGTGATTTTTATATAAGGAGAATAAAATGTGAATTTCCTACTTTACCCCTCAAATTTTAAATATTTTTAACTTTTTCCGTCAGTTTTAACGTTGGAGACCAAATGCGCCACTTCGTTCATAACTGAGGGACTAAAAATGGATACAACCATAACTCAGGGACCGAAACAGAATTTGGGTATAACTCAGGGACCAAAGATGCAATTTTCCCAAAATTTTATAATGCAAAGCGATATTGTTATTTTTAGCTTAAAAGATACCAGTATTATTTGATAATTAAAAAAGGAAAAATTTTTAATTTTGGTCCTGTGACGATTGGGGTCTTGTTAATTTCAATCTATAACTTTCAAAACGATCAATTTAGTACTTTAATTATTCAATTCAATTTTGGTCACTCCGGCCAAATTGCCGACTAAATATCACCGAACAAAAATGTTAATTGACTTGCTTTTGTTTAATCACAAGGACAATATGGTCATTGTACATTCAATGAACAAAATATTTGGAGTCACCATTACTATGATTTTTCCGTGCATAAATGACGGCTATGGTAGGGTGAAAATTGGCGCGTCAGGTTGTTTGGCTGAAGTAGAATGATCATATTGCCTTATTATTAAGCAAAAGCAAGTCAATTAATATTTTCCGGTGACATTTAATTGAAGTGACAAAAATTGATATAGTTAAAATATTAAATTGACAATTTTAAAAGTTATGACAAGACTTTAGTCAAAAGAATATAAACACATACCCCACTAAAGAATATAAACACATACCCAACTTGCTGCAGTATTAAGCATTTAATCATAGTTTGATTTTTGATCTCTACCCACCACGTGTAAGATTTTCGTTTTTCAATCTTTATGTATCTATGCAGTTGTGCATGGACTATATTGGGAAGTTACGTGCAATAAACTTTTCAACTTTTACCTTTTGCACTGAAAATGATTCCTCAGTTTCTTCATCAAAGCACACTACGTAAATGCCCAAGTTTAATTGGTGGTTGGCTAAAGTCACCCCCACCAAATTCATCACTCTACCGCAACCAAACCAATTATATCCCCTAACAAAAATAAATTTTGAAATTCATTTGCCTTTCCCACAGAAAAAAAAAAATGATAATCTTGCATAAAAAAAAGTAAAATTTCCTCCTCCCCCAGGATTCCTACACCCCAACCCAACAAGATAGTGAAATGATAAATCACAGTGACTTTAGTGACTCATTGGGTGGGAAGACTAATGTCTATTGCTCAAAAGGAGCCCACCACTTAGTGACTCATTGGGTGGGAAGACTAGTGTCTGTTGCTCAAAAGGAGCCCACCACATTGGGTGTAACTCTTACACTGCGGTTATCAAGGCTCAATCTTGTGTATTTGCCCACAATTTACCACCCCGAGAAAAAAATGATAATGTTACACATGCCACTAAAACACATTTGTTATTGAATAAGAAAAAATGAAAATTCTTACAAATGCATTCAACCACAATATATATGGTAAAAGTAGAAGTATTTTGATCATATCAACCGAGTTAAGAACAAAAAATGACATGCAGATATGTTTCTTTTACAAACATACATGATAATAAAAGATACTCCGTATTAAAGAAACTTCTAGGTATGTAGTGTACTTTTTTATGTTATCATAATGGTACTATGGTAGTGTGTAATATGTGTCTTTTGCCACCTAAAGAAAGTGTCTTTTGTCATTTTCATTGGGTTAAACTTGAAAATGCAGCACAAGAATTAAATACACTCTGCACCTGTTACTAGATTTGGTCAGCTAGAAGTTTCAAGAAAGTAATAAACTGCAGTAATGGAAAGAATTAACTCAATAGTGTAAGATATATACAGCCATTTAAGTTCTAAGTTCTTGTTTGGGGATGAATGAAGATTTTCATTTATTTTGTTTTCTGGCTCATTCAGAAGAGTATTGACAGCAGAAGTAACTTTAATTAGAATGCAGAGCAAGGAGAGTGATAAACAATCTATTGCAAAACTTCAAACTCTGCAGGAAATGTTTGTTTCGGAGAAAATAAGGACAGCATTACAAAAACACACAAACAGCAAAATATACATTTAGGTAAGTTCAATCCATTACAATGCAGACTAAAAACTAATAGATTGAAAATAGGAATTTATATGGA